TATGACTATGTGAGGCTACCGCCGACCTGGAAACTGCCTTACGAAGCAGAAGACAAGGACGCGCCGAACGCTCTGTAGTTTTGCAAGACAGAGCAAAAATCTGACAAAAGCCGAGAGGTTCAGAGACTACAAGACAAGCCATATAATCAAACTTCTTTCAGGTCAGGAGGAACCCAAAAATAACAACGCAGACAGAGATAGGTCTACAAGGTCCCAGCTCACTTTTATGGTTCAATTCAAGTCGTCTGCTTTTTCGTGGCTCGTACTGAACAGGCCGGGTCAACTAAGTGTGGCGGCCATCCTTGCAACCAAGCCGATGCGACGAAAAAACGACAGGTCTGCTCCTTGTGAAACGCGTAAAGTGGTAGGGGCGCTCAATGTGCCCTTATGGAGGGCAAGGGTATCATTTTGTTAAAAATGAGAGGAATTGGCCGTGCAGAAGGGAAACAAACAACGAGAGCGCAAAATCTTAGAAACGAAAAGGCCAAAAAGACGCCTGTTATGTCGTCTCCGCTTGCGAAGAATTCAAGAGGGAACAAACAGAGGTCTCGTTTCGAGTGCTGCTGACGGTAGAAGTGTTCCATTAAAGCCTCCCAGAGAAAAGGGCAAAGACACGATTTATCTTTACTATGAGATATTATAAGAGATAATTGACTGTCGTTGTTTAGTCGATCTAGACAAATTTTGCTCGTTGAATCCAATAGGCACTACATTATTGGATATGATGCCAATCTTTCTTGTTAAACGTTGTTTTAGATCGATGTTCGTACTGAAAGACATATATAAAAACGACCTTTAGGGTTTAGCAACAGTGTATAAGGGCATAAGGAACAGTGTTGAATTTGTTTAGGTGATAATGACAGTAATTATTTGTTATAAAGATTCTAAAAAATCTGAAAAGGAAAAAGTATACAGAAGGACGGCCCCCACATATTTCGCGTGAACCTCAGGAGTCTAGCCAGACGGTAAATGAAATAGGACGCCTCCTTAAAAAGGCGAACGAGGATTATAAATTTAAATAGTCGATCGTTAGTTTCGGTTTAAAAAGTACCCCATAGAGTATAACTGTGACGTTCAGTTTTACACCTTTCGTTAGCTTGTATTTTTGACGAAAATTTTTATCTTAAATTTACTCTTGGGTTATCTCCTAGACTAGATATGTCACTCGATACTGTATTATCCATAAGATGTAGCTTCAAAAATAAGGCTTACAATTTTGATGAAATTCACAAACCATGCTTCATGCATATATATATATATATTATATAGTCACTCCACGTCAGTTGTTTTTAAATGCCACGTGCACTAAGCAAGTTGCTGAAGTTGCTAGACAAACGTAGTCTTGGCATCTTCACGAGCGAGATCGGCCGAAGGGAAGATCCTCCTAACTGCGTCTGATCCATACGCAACCAAGAGTAAGCGTGGACGCTAGTGCAAACGGGTGGGCTACTGGCAGCCGTCAACAAGACTCAGTAAGGCAATTAACTTCTCTCCCCTCCCTACCCAGTAGGTGTCCCTGTTCCGCTTTCTGCGAGCTCTCCACCCCAAACTACATGTAACAAAAGCTCTCGGTATGACGTTGGAAACAGTAACAGCAGCAATAAAAAAAAAAGTGGCCAACAATGCCTAATCGTATACGAAGCTAGATGCAATAACTCATTTAAATAGATTTTTTTTTTTTATAAAAAGGCCTATCTGCGCGAAAGAGTTAGCCAAACAAACGTACTTAACCGACGCTCCGGCGTCGTGTCGTATACAAAATTCCAAGTAGCCGTTACTTTTGGATACAAAGCAACGGAACGAGACAAAAAAAAAACAACGAAAAAGATAAGACGATCAAGAGTCGACAATAATTATTCGTGCTAGTGTTGACGGCGATGCGCCGGCGAGCGGTAGACTACCGTTCCCAGCCGGCCAATCGTCCTATCTTCGGTAGTTCGTACAGCAGCAGCAGGCAGCTTCATCCGCACTGTCCTTACTGCTGAAACGCTCCCTCTACGTTTCTTCTGCTCGTTTTTTTTCGTCTGTCGTTCTAACGATTGCCGCGGCACCATCGAACCATCTCTGTGCAAGCATCACTCCTTTTGGGTGGCTTGGTTAAACTACGCAGCCGGTGGCGCCATCTTTGAGCAGCTCATGGCGACCAGGGGAGGGGCTAACGGTGCACGAACGTCTGTTCACATTCAAGCGAACGGCCGAACTCTGACGACGTAGGAAACAAAAGCGGTTTTGTCTGCTGACGCTGTCGAAATGGGAGAGGCGAAAGTTACGATATGAAACTTCGGTTCATCTTTCGTACATAATAATAATACTAATAATATTTTTACGTACTCCTTGTGACGTAGAGATAAAACTAAAGCCGAAAATAAGTTGGGGCAAGAGGGGTCGACCTTTTTGAGAGAAACGAAAATTGTGCTAGATTCATAGCGGTTCTAATTTTTTCTTATCTCTTTGGATGATACACTTTTTTTTATAAGATGTATGTTGCCTGTTTTCGGCCTATTTATTCGTGTAAACATATTTTAAGTGATGAAAAATGTGCGGAGCGGTAATTTTATTACGGTGCCGTCCTTACAAACTTGAATTATTTTCTTTGCATACTGTTTACGCTAGCATTTCGTAGTCCAATGCGTATCGCGAATAGTGGTAAACAAGCAAGTATACCTACTGAAAAATCTTTTTAAGCACGGCATCTACTGAAAAACACACAAACCGACTTGCGCGATGTCAGACGGACCAACTATTGTAGAAACCCTGATGTCAACATCACTAGAAAATACAGTATCGGCTTGTTAATCCCGAATTATTTTATCGGTCAATTGCTTATGAGAACTAAAGCTTCATTAAGCTCTAACATCCCTCATCATTGTACAATTAAATGCCTTCGACAAGATGACATATACTTCTATCCGCTGAAAAAATTCAATAATTTCGTGGCACATATTGTAACCTCGACACCTGGGCGTTGTGTGATCTATCGAGAAACAAACTAAACATACAGTTGACCCTATAGCAAGCGTACGTAAAACGTTGTGCGGCGCTTGTGTTGTTTCTTCGAAAACACTGCAAGCTAACTATCCCTAACAGTTAGAAGCTTACGTTCTTGGCAGTGTTATAAATGTGCCGATACGAGAAGTGGAGGTGACAAAAACGTCATCGATGATAATCGTACCCACAGCAAAGGGACGATGAATTAATTCAGGAGTTCAGCCGTTGCTTTTTGACCTGAAACGACTACTCAGGAGTAATTGAACTAAGCTACGTAGAAGCTGCTAATGAAAGCTCCGCGATACGGCCCACATATTTATAGTTCTCATGATACTGCAATCGTAAGCGTTGTTATTATTGCACACAGCAGCAAAAATTCTCTTTCTTTTTGCTATTTAACTCTTGTTAATGCTTCTGCTATTGTCTTCGAAGGCGCGCATATCGTACATACACACACAGATATACATAGGGCAGGCGATCTGGAAAACCTTTGAGGGGACGGGAGTATTCCGAGGTTCAAAGCCTCTATACGGGGTTCTATTATTGTTTGCACAGCGCGTCCAGAACGCCCTTCTCATGGACAGGAAGATCTATCTCTGGTTGTTTAGCTAGATTTCTGCATTACGGCTATACCGCGTGGAGAATGTTGTCTGCCCCATTAAGTGTATTTCCGGGGCAGCGGGCATTGAAGAAGCTATAGCAGGATAGCCGGCCCGAAGAGTTACTACAGCTTCTTCGTAGAACGGCCAACTGGGGTCGAGCGGGATATATGTCGAGGCGGCCTTTTTGGTAGGCTTAGCCGAGCCGACTTCAGGGGTCGCCCTTAGCTATATTGTCGCTCAGCCAATGGTCCCCTTGCTCGAATACTAAGCCCACCCGTCTCACCCCAGCCACGCTGCTATCCTTTGGGACAACGTTTGTCGTCTGAGATGAGCACGGACGTTGGACTCGGTTTTCGCTTTGGCGTTGTCCTTTTTTCTTGGTCGATCCTATTGCGCTATCGCGTAGTGAGCAAGCTAGCTAGCTGGCTAACCTTGTTGTGTTGTATCCTTAGTAATGGAGCTATCACAGACAATCGTCGGAGCGGGTTGGCCCTGGGATGCCTCTGTGGGGCATTGCTAGCTGCGACAACCATATCAGCCCTAGCAGCGATGCGCCAATGAGTGGCGTGCTGACCAATCCTCGGGGAATTGCCTCCTTGGCTTTGGTGAAAAAAAAAAACCAGCAGAGAAACGACTACTGAAAGATACCAATGGTAAAAATGAACATTCTTAAGAGATCCCCTTATTTCAGCCGTGATTACTATAGCTGAAGCCCACACATCTGCAGGTAGCTGTTCGTTGCGTCGATATAACAACGAAATTCTACCTTGGATGTAGTGGTAGGAGAACAACGATTTATCTGCTACAGAAAAAATATGCCAAGCGAGAAAGGGCACTCATGAAAATCTATTATACTTATGACGAAATACCTTTACCAACCTTTAATGGAAGATCATTGTACAGCACAATCAAGCCTTTCTCGTGTAACCCAGTACGCCCGTAATCTTCCTTTTAGCTACTTATCCACGGCGGGGCGGGGGGCGGGGGGGGGTAATGTGTGTTAGTCTGAGCCAGACATCGATAACCAAATAAAGAAATTGTCGTTGGTTTCATTTTCACACTGTTTGCAAGCAAGAATTAGTTCCTATTTTTCAGGGTCCTAATTTTCGATCTTAGCAAAGCGACAATACTACTGCTTCAGGGTTCGCACATCAGGGTGAGCATCTGAGAGATTTCAAATCTGATTTTGCGGTGATTTTGGTGAAGTCGAATCTTGATTAAGACATAGCCGATTTATTGCAAATAAAAAATTCGTTGTTATGCCCCTTTCTGTGAATGGGACGTTCGCTATTAGTCAAAGAAAACCTAGAGCTCATATAGTTCTGATAATTGTTTTGAGTATTGCGAACCATTCTACTAAAGACAATGAAGCATTGTTTCATTTAGTGTTTGGCTCTATTGATCCTTCGGTCAAATCCCAGTTTTTTCGTAGACCGCTGCGTAAGCTTGTCGCCTAGATCGCTCGACCGCTTATGTAAAAGTCTGCCTCGCTTCATCCACAGACTATGACTCTGAAAGCCCTTGTCTTAGTGGCAGCTATGGAGTGGTTTATGAGGCGGCCGAAGGCAAGTCCAGGTTTAAATCAGGCCAATGGCCATAGACCAATCGTCGTAGCAACGAGGGGCTTTGTTTTGTGTGTTTAGCCTGTCGCTTCTCGCTTCGCTTTCCCGCTAGGCCAAAATGAGCTTGGGGGTTAGTATCGCATATAATGGAACATAATAGCCACAGGGCCTTCGACGCGAAAGCCAACGGGTAGATAAATAGGGAAATAGGTTGTAAATTTTCGTTTAGGATAATCCGTGACGCCTTTCGGGTTGTTCGTCCCGCCGCTACTAGAACATTGAACAGGGACGAGGTAACAAGCAGCCTCCTATCATATCACATGAAGAGGACTATACGGACATCTAAGCAGGCTCAGGCATAGGGTTATTCGATGTCGGACCTGATTAAAAGGGAGCAAGACAAATATCAGATTAAAATACGTGTGTGCAACGTAGTTCAAACTGAGTAAATCGGATGCGTTATATTTAAACGTATACTGGTGAGGTCTAAAGAGTAAATGACTCGACTAAATCTGGATGGACGTTGGCATCAGCGAATCATCTGTCAACGAGTTGGAAACGTCTCCCTGCCAAGGCTGTAACAGTTGAATAATATATAGCTATAATAGCTAAGTATAACAGATGGTTTACATAGTATTCTTAGTTTGGAGAATTACGAATACATTTGAACTATTGAAATTGCACCATTCTTTTACGGGATTACCACCAGTGGAGTCCGGCCGATGCTAAATCATCTGCAACCGCTGCGAAGTGCATTTCAGGTATTTCGAACTTTCCGTGCATAGGTTCTGGGAATGGGCGGCCAACGATGGCAGCGCGCTGTGCCGCAATGGCGTCAGAGGACTGGGCAGGGTAAATGCGACCAGGGTGATCGCAGTTGAACTGAGCAAGAAGTCAACGAACGGTGAGATAATAAGAAGAGCGATGCGGCGGTTTCGTTTCCTCCTTTAGTTTCTCAGACAGAAGCATTGGGAAAAGATGATGGGGTACTGATCTACTCTTCCGTAACGGCAATCATGGGTTGTCGTGATCGAACTGTGACGAATATTGAAGGTATTGTTCATTGACTAATCTATTCACCGCGCCGAATATATTCGATAGGGCAGCGTTAATAACATCAACAGTGATGGCAGCAGTACGGAAACGGCATCAAACGACGATCAAAACCTAAATCGTTTTAAAAAAAAATATCTCATAGCAAATGTACAAATGGGACGAGTCCTGTTCGTCAAATGGTCGATAGGTTCTCCAATTGTTTTTGCGACAATTATCTGTCGCTTCCCGTGTGATATGTGCGGTTGTTTCCCGTTTTAGGCGAAATCGGGCAACGATGATATTAGACAGAACTTCTCCAAAAAAAGACAAGCTAGAAAGGCTGGAATTGCTTTTTATGGTTGGTTTAATCCTGTCATACTACCCGTAAAGTTTTTTCCTGGTTGTTTCTGTGATGGCACTTGGCGCCACAAAATCCACCTGCTGCTTTCATTAGCATAAAAAATTCGCGCACACAATTGTGATTTTTCTTAATCGACAGAGCGGAAACCAAGATGCTGGTAAAAAGCTGCAATAACTAACGATTTTTTAAGTGAGTTTTTTTATTATATAAACATGTTCTGCCGCACATACCGTTACAAAATATATGAGATAAGTTACAACGTCAACTACAAATATCTAACACTGTCGATAATTAAAGTGCTAAATTCGATCTTCTAACGACAATTATTATTACCATTGTAATGTTGGCCTGGCAGTAGCCTAAGCTTAACGCTAGGCCTACCGCCACGGCTGTGACACTGAAGAATTTTTGCTCTCAAGGCTACATGTTACTTTGAATTATATTAAGTTCAGTGAATATATCCGGCCCTTAGACAAGCCGTTCTCATCTGTTTGGCAGTTTACAATTGGTTTACTCTGACTGATTTATTCGTGAAGCGTTCAATATTGTGCGCCTGCATCGTCCTAATCATTCGTTCTGCGTAAGCCCTGTTGAGAAACAGCCTGCAACGATGACTTTAGCCTTGATATCGGGCTACATGACACTCTCGACAGTCTTCAAGGGCTCTTCTCATTTTTGGCAGAATGAAGGACTTAGTTCAGCACTGTGCGATCATCAAGGCTTAATCAGACCTCTTCGAAGGCCCACTGTGGATTTCGCCTCCACGATTTGCCTCAGACTAGCAGATCCAGCACATTGTAAGGACTTTATTCACGTTGGCTGCATTCACAAGTGGATCTATATGCTTCGGTAAACTTCACAGAACACCCTGCAATGTCTTTCTTTGCGCAGCCTCCGTCACACACATCTTTAACCCACGAAAGAAGTACGCCGATATTTCTAAAATTGAAATTGAGTTTATCGTGGTCGATTTCGTTAATTTCGTGCCCAGTGTAGTCTCATGAGAGCTCACGTATTATATCACTAATTCACTTCACTAACTCTTTTGCTTCTTCAAGGTAAAATTCATACGCTGATACTGTCGATGTTGGCACGACAGAGGCACTTCAGTTTGAGGTGCAGTGTCAGCTAACTTATTAGGCCGCATTCAAGGGGCGTGCGCGCTAAACCTTAGGAAAATTCGATAACTTTTTGCTGATAGCCAAACTTTTTTCATCTTTAGCTTATAGGCGTATTTTTTTGGTCATTACAAGCGATTTCACAAGCGATTGTATTGCATACCACCTCTAAGGAAGGCAAGTTCTTGTTATAATAACAAGACCGCTAATGTCTCTATTTACATTTTCCTTGTACCAGTCAGAGAAATAATATAGTCACCCTGAACTTAATAGGTTCCCAACACTAATTTACAAAAGCTGCCAACTCAGTGAGTTTTGAGCGAGTTTCATAACCTTGTAAACATGTAGATAAATTTACGACGCCCAACATAAGCCTAAAGAGAGTTAAAAAAATTAACAAATAATTTTTCAATATGTTGGCAAAGTATGTATTTTTTGCTTTTATTATATTCTCGACGCATTACGGAAGTGTAACGCATTATTCAAGCGCTGTCCTATTGCTTCAGAGTTCTGTTTTTATCTATTTGTCCGGGCTGGGAAATTTTATCTTCAAAGGCTTAGATAGGTAGTTGTGACATCTTGTTTCTCTGCGCGTCTCTCTTGGGTACATTTTTAATTGATTTGTTACTCTTCCGACGTTCTTTCTTCAGCATACTTTTATTACAATGGCTCGTTCAAGTTTCAAACATGATTTTAACATAAATTTTATGTACATATACACATAAGCATACTTCCGGCATGAGCTACTGCTTCTCTCTTTTGAATGTGTCGTTTGGGGCACACGCACATCGAAACCGTAACCAACTAACACGCCCATCTATTTTTTTTTTTCGGTACTATCGGGCGAAAACGTGGTACGATAGACAAAAATACTCGCATACATTCTTTTGCTTTCCAAAGTCATTTCTCCGCCTGAATGTTCCTGCATCTAATTCGTACACGGTTCACTCGTACTCCTGCACAAGTACACCTACATCTAGATGTACTCATCTGTGCTGGTCACACAATGCAAATCGTTCCTTTCAGTTGTGGCACCGTTACCCTTGTTAGCCTTCCTCGCTCGGCAACCTCCATTGACAGTCTGTAAGAGCACCTCAAACATCTAATATGCTTTCGAATAACGGCGTCCACTAGACGATGACAACAACAAGGTCCTTGGGGATGTGGACCGGGGTCCCCTTGGTCCTTGGAGAACACGCATGCACGTTCGATAGCGCCTATTATATCAGTTCGCCAGGGGATAAATTTCATAGTTATGCGCATGGAACCGGAACGCTAAGGTGACGCTTTCTTTTGAGTTTAGAACAGCCGAAGTGCTGACACCAGCTCGGCACCGCGCCAGCATCGTCACTTTAAAAGATAGAAGAGCAGACGCGCAGGAACTGGTACTGCTACGCGTGCTGTAGAAGGCGCTTCATCCGATGAGAGCGATCCGGATGATGGTTAAGGCTTGCTTTTGTTTTTGTAGGTTGCCGAGAAGCGACAAGGAGACACACAGCAATACTTGCGCAAGTTCTTCATTACTGGGGTGTAGCAATACATCGTACAGTTGAACATCCGGTATTTGTCCAACAATCTGGCTGTGGGTAGATGGATGTGGGGCTCGTCCTAGAAGTGTTCCTGAGAACAAGAATATTCAATGAATCTTAACTAGTGGGTGCAAATTCGTGCGGCAAGACGCTTTCGATTCTTGGACGAATATGACCAATAGAACGTAAATTTGCTCTTCGACAGGGTAGCTTATTTTTACCCTGTCCTAGCCTGACAAATTCATTTTTTTTTTTTTCATTTTCAGAGCTTGATTTTCGTAAGCGTTCTCAACAGTCTGTACCCTATTACAGGTCAGCTGGTATAAATGAAAAAGATATCATGGTATAGGTGATTCTATTGGATAGTATACGGAACAAATATATCAGCTTGGTCTTCGTGAATCTACATGTAGATCGATTGCACCAAATTGTCAGAGGAAAGAACGCGTTTTCAGGTACCGGATTCGCTCTAGATGTTATAAATTAATCAAATTACGCGAATCAGTATATCATGCTCGTGTATCATAAATATTATAATGGTCTTTATGATAGCTACAAATGAACGTGCCGGAAAAGAAACAAATTACTTTTGTCAGCTTTTCTTACTGTTCTGTTCCATAGAATGTGGTCTGTTGAGTGTATAAGCTTCGCCTGGCTGTTTGTCTTCGAAGCCATGAGATCAAAATGACGCTCATGTTTTAACATAATTTTGCCGTTTCATGTCAACCACTTGGGACTCTGCGAAGTGATGATTGCTACTGGGCCGTGTGTTCCGGTGCGCGGGGGCTTGCTTCTACACGTTAGCAACTAGCTAATTTCTAACATTTCAAATTTTTGTTGGCTTATATCTGAGCCAAATCCCTAACTGGGCCCAAAAAATATCATCATGCCTTGTCATTTGATTGCCTGCTTTCAAAAGATTGTTCTATCGCTGTCCGACTTTTGACGGATAGCGGCGCAGCGAAAGTTTTCGGCTTCAGGTTAACTCGCTTTAATTCATCGTTAGCGTTCGGTGCTATGTTAAATGGTGAGAACTATCGAGTGTCTCTTAACGCTGCTGGGCATGTATCCGTACCTCTTAAAGGCAAACGTGAAGGAGAAGCTCCTGTAGCATGTTCTCATTTCTAAGCGATCGTGGATACATAGATTTCGACAAGCTCTGTTGTGCGGACGAAAGGCAGGTAAGAGAGCAGCGGCTGCTGTTGCTACTGCGGCAAATAATCAACTTAAATTTTTAACTAATTCGTTCATTTGACGATAGATCATTTTCCGAAAGAGGCCCAGAACTTGTTCACCTGCATGAACGTGCTTTCTGTCTGCCTACGTAAGTAAAAGTTCTTCTTTCTCCCAGATTCGCTGCCTCGTTCTTCTGTCAGCGACCGTGCTGAGGGCCACGAGGTGAATCAAAGGTCAATCAGGCTTGGTACGATCTTAATACTAGCGGACGCTAACGTATACGCGCATAAACCGAGCAACAAACTCTTAGCAACAAACATGAGGTGGCGTACTTTGCGTCCGTGTGCTCCTTCGTAGCTCAGCACCACTTTAGAGGTAGCGACTACAGGGGCTTGGTCAACGGGAAAGATACCGCCAGCTTTAGCAGCGGCAACAGCAGAGTCATCATCGTGCAACAGAAACAACGATGACACTGGCGCCGATGAACATGACGACGACGACTTCAAATAAACGTTAAGGCGGAACCGTATCAGCGGCATGGTAGAGCCGGCAGTGGCAATAGGGCAGAAGCTCACCTATCGTCTCGCCTTGGTATGACAACTCCTTCACGGAGCTGTCAGCAATGGCCGAAATCCGCTTTCTTGCCGTTTCTTTTCGGCAATCCGGCGACTCAGCGCAGGTCGACTCATCTACGATTTCATCGAGGCTTAACAGAATCGCCAACGAAACGGTTTTGCATTGGAACTGAGCGGCGCACCTCGGAGGTCACGACACGATGACACCGAACTGCGTCTATGGTCAGCTCACCTTCATGAAGAAGCCCCAAATATAAAACAATATGGTAGCGCAGGACAAAGCGCAGTCGCTCCTTTCACCCATGTTCGACGCGTGTTTAGTATGCACGTCACAGATAATTGCGAATCGAAACAATATCCACCCATCCATCTATCCACCCATAAATGCCCCTAGCACACCGAGTATTTCCACTACGACAAGATGACGGCTAGTGCTGCTGCTGCTGCTGCTACCAATATGGTCAATCTATCCACTAAATGCAACAGGATACCAACAGCTCTTTCCGAGCGTGTATATAGCATGGCTCGACAGGACATAAGGGATTGAGTAAGCAAATAATGACTACAGTATGAATGAAGGCAAACGAAAAAGTTGAAAGAGGAAGAAGAATATAGAGTAAAAGATGAATGAAGAATGATTTATATATATATATAAGGCTTTACATAGAATTTCCATGTTTAGGACACGATTTTTTCCGTCGAGCCTAACTGGTATATATGTTTTTATAGATTCAAAATTGTCATGAAACTAAAGAGATCCTAATTAGAAGACACATGCCAGAGAAACAGTATAAAAAAAAATTCCTGGAACAGGCAGCTTAAGGCCAACCGCCAGATATAATTCAACTATTTGCAGACACTATTTGGAGGCAAATATTGAATGTGATTATAACAATATATATAATACATAAAAAAAAAGTGACTGGGAAGTGAAGTAACTTCAACTCTTGGTAAACAAAATTTACAGATAGAATCTATAAAAAACGAATTAATTGTGATCTTGATAACACTTCTAAATAACTAATCGTTGCATAGAGTCAAGCAAAAATTGATCAGCATTTAATAGACTGATACCCATAGAGAAAATGTGCGTAGGTTTAACTCAGCACGGGTGTCCAACTGAAGTAATTTTGTGTTCCCAAATTTTATAGCCAGACGCTTGAGAAAATATATTAGAAACAGTGGTCTATATGTAATAAGCCGCTACCTAGTCGCTAGAAAATAACTGGGCAAATTTCCCAAACGTATTAGAGTAAATGGCGTATAATTATCGACTTGGGCTTTTTTTTTTTTTCTAGTTCCATAAGCTTACTGCATATAGATATTTAGCTTTTTAAAGTAGGGATAATGTTTCAATTCGCTGTTAGCACCAACTGGGCAATGCACGTTACACTGAAGGTGTTGAAGAGTGTTCCGGTCGCTCCGAGTCATATCGCTTCATCATTCCTCATGTTCGCCACTCTCAAAGCCTCGATATCGGACGTAAAAAGTGCTATGGCTGTAAATGTAGTACACTCATAGAAACACGTATGAGTTGTTTCAAGATGGCAGGCTATGACACCCGTAGCCTGTGGCCCGCACCCCCTGATGGAAACTGAATGTAGAAGTACACAGCAAGGCAAATACAGTTAAATGGCGCCTTTTACCAGTGTTTAAAAAACTCCTAGGTGGCTATTTATGAAAAGATTTGCGATCTTGTCTGAAGCGGAGAAATGTTGAGGGTCTCAGTGAGCATTGCTTGGCCAAGATGATTTCTTCTCCAAAATGAAAACCCTGGATGCTGGCCGTTGAGTCGCCAAATGGTCATCCGATGGACTTGGCCTTCTGCGTCATCCGCTTGATGTGGCCTGCGAAGGAAAGAAATGGACCTTTATCGGGCTGCTCAACGAAAAATGAAATTTTTTCAAAAACTGATCACATATCGTTGCGCTCAGATCGAGTCGGGCTGCCGACTAGTAAAGGGGAAGACATTCTAAATGTTATCCTTAAATGCCGAAAGAGCGAAGTACCGAGGGAATCGGTAAGCAATGACTATTTTCTCGATTTGTTCAATTTTTATCGTTAGCCCCATTTTGATGAATCGGAAAGAACAAAGCCTTTCATAATTCCGTCCATTGCTTCACTGTCGATCAGAGCATCAATGTTCAAGCATGTCACTGTTTTCCCCTTTGCGTCGTGCAAGTGCGCGTCCCGCCGAGCGAACGAAAAGATCAGGGAAGGGGATCGGCTTATGCGGTGATTGTGTCTCCATAATCTAGCAAGGACATCGACGCGGTGATAACAAGCCCTTCGAGTTCGGGCAAGCGCTGAAAATGCAGAGAAGCAAGCTCTTTGCGGACGATTTGAACTGCTGGCTGTTTACATCAGCTTAACTTAAGCTTTTAGATACACTAGCAGCCTCGACTAGATTCGAGGAAAACTAACCATTATTCAGCGGCAACCTGCATTGTACTGCGCCTAACCTAAATAGCTTTGGATTTGAGAATGCTATAGCAATGTGAAAGCTATTTTCGTTTATAGAACTGTACTGTTTATCGAACATGAACGGTTCCCTTGTCATTGTTATCAGGAATTCTCCATTGCTTTATCTCGGTGCAGCGTCAGTATAAGCGGAAGACCTAGAGGCCATCTTACGTCGGTCGTCTGGAAGCTAGGGATGACTGGTCTCGATAAACCGGAAAGATTGCCCTCAAGTCATTTCAGGACGTCAAACGAATAGTACTAATGTCAATAAGCAGCATATGAAAAATATTTTAGCAACGCTTTGTGTTTCTACCGTCACATTTAGTATCACCTATACGGGGGTCAGTGAACATAAAAGCATGCTGTATACATTAGTACAATTTAGAAACGTTTCACCGGCTTGTCTATTATTATTATTACTGCTACCAAATAGATTGCAATAATACCATTAGAGCACTTATTTCCTGCTCGTTTTCTGTCCTCAGCCCTGCCGTTAGATCCTGTGACAATAAGTTACTTTTGGTTAATGTCACTCAATAATTCTACATACGTGGTCCTACAGGCCGACCAGATCACGAGTTGCGCCGACCCCCAAAATCGGCGCCGTCGTGACTTATCGTAACGGCCCAACTTTTTTTTTTCGAGCTATTTTGTTAGTCATAATGAACGGCAATTACGATTCTGGTTTGTGAGTCCTTCAAAAAGCCTCCAGAAAACGGCTTCGATGACGTTGAACCGTAATGATATTATGGATCGATCAACCGTTGAGGTAGGCCGCGTCGAAGCGGAAAGCAGCGCAGTAGCAACAGCCAATATATAGCTGTTTGTTGAAAATAGCAAATTTTTCGAGAAAATCCAATACAGTACGACCCTGTCAAGAGGCGGTAGTTGGCCGGCGATCTATATTACTCCACTGCGCTGGTCAAATGTGCTATGCAAACGCACGTCTATATATATATACACGCAACCTTAAACATGCCTTCCTTACGTTCACTCTATGGCAGTATATTTGTGAGTTCAGTAAATGATTTCACAGAACTACAAGACCTTGTCACAAGATAACAATAGTTTTTGTTAGCCACAACTGTTACATATCCTCTCTTGTGACGAAAATGTTACTTGTGGCCATCTTAGCATACAAAGACGTTTTTCGTGCTGTTACGGAAGATCGCATTCGATACTCAGCTGTTTTTTTACATATAGTTATAAACGACACGGGCACCTATAGAACAAGCGCAGATTGAGCACAACTTGTTTTCATTATTTCGCTCATAATGAAAAGCTTTGTTTAGATACTCCACGAAGTGACAACAACATATATGTACCCGCAATAGCCCCAATATCTAAATCAAGGCCCATATTTCCTAAGACATATGTATTACTTGCTAATTCGACATCTTAGGTATTATCGCACCAACCCCTTTGGAGATAGCAGATTGACAAGGCCGCGTTTAAAATACGAAACAAAATTGAAGTTAAGTGTGTCGCGTTTGAGTATGAAAGGCGGGGAGATTGCGGTAGAACAGTAGGTTGAATGCTCTACTGCGAAGTACTTAACATTCGATAACCAATTTAAGAGTTAAGCTCTAGCACTTTCTCAGGAACGATAACGTTCTCCTTTCACCAACGCTCCGCTCTTAGTCAACGCTTAAAAGCTATGAAACACCGACCACTTCACAAACGACCATTTGACCATGTCAAAATCGGTTTACTCCAGCCAAACCCAACAATCAGCGACTGTCCTCGATAGCGTCACGCCACACTTGGGGATACGAGTAGTCGTCGATCTTATAAAGTGGTTACAACGTTTACGGCGGCCGCACTAAACATTATTACGTATGTAGAAGAACAATCGGTAAGATGTTCCTCCTTAAACGTTGATCACTCGTGCTACTCGTAACCATTTTCGTTAGCTTTGGCCTATCCCTGTTTTAGTCAGACGGTTGTAGCTGTCTCTTTTCTCATTACGTCAAATAGTTCTGTTCGCCTGTCGTCTGTCCACTACATTACGTATAAATGACAGAAATCATGGCCTGCATCAATATGAACGCGATCAGCGGTTGACCAATCCATCAGTTGTGGACAGAAGCTTGTATGGTCTGAGGTAATCCCTTTTCCTCTCGCCATTTGCCTTCTACCATTCAAGACCGTAGCAGTAAGAACGCATATGCAGTGTGGTTGCTTCTAAGAGAGGTAGCAAGAGAGATGACAACCGATCTAAAGTAGTCGCACTAACGATATGGAGAAGATTAGCATTTACTGAGATCCGTATATTTTTGTGGGACTTCACCAGGGTCCTGTTGACAACGATGCACAGATTCGCTGCAGGTGGTAGGCCGTCTTGCGCGTGGCAGCCTGAATCAGGTGTCTTTTCCGCACCTTAATAATTTACGTTGAATATGGTGCAGAGGTTTCCTCTGATGTGTTCATGATAACATTGCAGTCACTTCTATGTGATTTTGAAGAGTTCAATAGGTAACGCTGCCACCTCACATAGCGCGAGTATCAGACTGAAAGGTGGTAGATGAAAGAGTAGCTCTTATGGCGCCAGAGATAATGGGGTTTGGACGCGATACGTCGCCAAACAGTCTTTCTCATTAAATATACGCAGGCATGTTTGATTGATGCACTGCAGGCCTATCACGATGGGCGGGCGTCGTGGGTGGTTGGTCATAAGGAAATGAGAAGCGGCCGCTCTATAGCGGTTGTCTATTTAGCCGTCTTCACAAAAAAAATACAAAAGGTTAACACGTGTCCCTCATGTTTTATCGTGTAAACTACGTGAACGTTTTGATATGCAAATGAAAGCACATATATATACATATACATATACAATTAACGTCTATCCACCTATGTATCTTCTGACTAAGAGAATTGATGATGTACATCAATGCAAATCGTTGGACCGCTTGGTTTATTTAAAGCTGAATGAGATATATCAGGATTGAGTTTATATATGTATATCTACTAGTTACGATCAGTTAACGACATGAACTTGTAACTTAAACGATACTATGATGTTCTGTGGCCCTTCCGAGTAAAATGTTCACTTCTAATCCTAGGGCGCGTAAAGATGGCAGGTACAGACGAAACCAAATTGACAAATTTCCATGGTTTGATGGCAGAGTAGTTTACTAAAAATAGCTAGCTGATAGCAGTGCGTCAGAGTTCGATCCAACCACCGCTGTTCTGGTAGTGTCGATAATCACTAGATCGGCCGCCTTTTATTTCAATTGTCTGTTTACAACACCTTTAGCCACCTTCAGATGTAGAAACTATTTTCCCAAGCCATCTGAGCACACGAGAATTCAATAACGTCTATTATTCGTTTTCCATTGTTATTAATTAGAAATTATGATTATTAAATCTATAATAATAACATGGAGGTTTATAGTTGTCTACAGACTAAAATATATTTACACCACATGCAATATGGTGTAGACTTTGAGATTGGTTTAGATTTTATGTTTCAAGTACCAGAAGCAGTATAGCTGACATGTATCGCTATGCAGTGCCATAATAATAATTATACAATGTCTCGCTGTTCCATAACTCATGGCATAGGTAATAGTAAGTTTCAAAGATGTGTCTTCATGACATTTTCGAACTTTTACGTAACTTGTGGCAGTTAGTTTTACTTCGGCAGGCCGTTCTGAATCACAGTGCTTCATGTCACCGGTTCGCTTTGGGAACATC